ATAAGTTTGTTTTTTTTCAAAGTCAAACTTCCCTTTTATTGTCATTTTAATTTTTCATCAGTCATTTTATAACTCTTTTTTATAATCTACAAATTCTAATTTTTATCCATGTTGCGTCTCTGCCACTGCAGTTCTATGTAACATTTTGAATCGTGTTGCCGTGTGCTATATAGTTGCTTACGGATGCCTGAAGCCCCGCCTGGTCCAGGGTCCAGAAGGTGTCTGATGTTGGGCTCATGTCTCTGCAGGAGGACGCTGCCGTTCTGTTCGAGGATCTCCGACTGTGCGCTGTGAAGCCTGCAGACCACATGGATCGACGGTTCTGCTTCGAGCTGCTGTCGGTCCAGAAGTAAGACGGCACACTTAGAGCCGCATGATGCTGGCCTGCAGGAGGAAGCGTCACTCAGCAGCGTGTGTGTGTGTGTGTGTGTGTGTGTGTGTGTGTGTGTGTCAGGTGCTGTGTTCTGCAGGCCGACTCTGAGCAGCTGAAGCAGGCGTGGCTCAGCGCTCTGCAGGGCAGCATCGATCTGGCCTACAGGGAGAGGAGCGACGCTCAGCTCACACAGGCAGGTCCACCACAGACACATCTATACGTCCTCATCTATCCGTCCTCATCTATCCGTCTTCATCCGTCCATCTTCATCCACCTGTCCTCATCCATCTGTCCATCCCCCTCCCCTCAGACACAAATTTGGAACATTAACAGCCAATAGTAACAACAGATAAAGTTTTTATTCTATCTGATCCACCTCTGTGTCCGTTCAGCCCAAAGATCCTCCCCCCGTCCTCTCTGCCGGTGACGCTTCTCCAGGTCCACCCTCCCAGAGGCCGGCGGTGCTTGCCGTGGCCCTGGGGGGCCCTGGGAACCAGCGGTGCTGCGACTGCGGGCAGGAGGAGCCGCGCTGGGCCTCAGTCAACCTGGGAGTCACCGTGTGCATCGAGTGCTCCGGCATCCACAGGTGCGTTGGGTGGGATGCTGATGATGGGAACCAACCAGGTTCTGTGTCTGAGGAAAAGAGACGTCTCTGATCTATGTGTCCACAGGAGCCTCGGTGTTCACCTGTCCAAGATCCGCTCCCTGACTCTGGACTCCTGGGAGGCTGAACAGCTGAAGGTACAAGTAGCAGAAACAACCACCATACGGAAAGCTGTTTATTAAGGGTGTAAATAATAATCGTTTTGTATGGATGCATCGATCCAACAGCCGACGTTCCGATGCATCGATACGTCCGCAAGAGAATCGATTCATGTTTTTTTTTTTCCTCGGGTCTTTCATTATCCATTTGCTCCTGTGCGTAATTCTCCCTCCCGTGCTGCGGTGGCGCTAAACCTATTTTGCCCTCTTACCTCACTTCCTGGTTTTACTCTTACAGCAGTGTGTTGCAGTGAGCTTGACACAGACATTTTTGATTTATGCTCAGTATTGAAGCGTGGTCTGTGCTACACACTGTGGGTCTAGATACGGCCGAGGCGGTGAGGAAGTGGGGGCGAGTTTAGTCCAACGACGGAGGGACATGATGGCCAAAAAGAGCGGAGATCCAGGTGGAAAAAGGCTCCCAGCGTTCTCGCGCACCTCGCTTTTCTAGCGGGTCAGACTTCAGGAGTTGTTTTCGCAATTTCGGTCATAAAAACAAAACAAGCCGGCCTCCTGTCTGTGGCACTGTCTGCCGTCAGCTACAATTTGGGAGAGGAGCAGCGGAGCGTTTCTACTTCTGTTATTTGCTGTTGTTTCTCAAAAAATGCATAACGATATTACAGCTTTCATTGATTTATTTCAAATTTGAAACATTGTCTAGTCTGTAAGGTTTAAAAAAAAAATGAAATCGAATCATATTGTGATGTATTCTTGAGTATCGAAAATAATCAAATCGTTGGGTCAGGAAATCGATACTGAATCGAATCGCCATGATGGATGTGATTTACACCCCTATTTACACCCCTACTGTTTATAGCAATAATCAGGTTCTGTACAGCCTGAAATGTCATGGAAGTGGATTAGGTTCAGATCCAAATTAGAATAAAGGAATATGTGAGATACTCAA